AGAATATTAATGTTGAAAGAGAACTTATTATCTTAAACTAAAAAAGCCTTAGGTTTAAAGATTATAAACACCTAGCCTTAAAACACCTACTATATAGGAAAGTATTCTAGATAAACTATATTTATAATAAATATAGTATATATAAAGTAGCTAAAAGAATTAATACTTTTTATCCTTAGAGGATAAATAATATAGTAGCACCTTAATACTATATAAATAAAGAACTATAGTACTAAAGAGTTAAGGAATATAAAAAATAAAATATTTATTTTAAACTATACTTATAATACTTAGTAGTATATATAATAGGCACTACTAAATACTAGTTAAACTACTACTATAATAAATATAAATACTACTATATAAGAAAAGTATAAATATAGTAAATATAGATTAAGGAGGCTAGGACCTACCTAAATTAGCTAAAGAACTTAAGACGCTAACTATAAGTAAGGTATAAGCAGCTAGAAGATAAATAAAAACCTTATACGTTATAATAATAAAACATAATAGTTATGTTTTTATATAAGTCTTACTAAATAAATAGCCTACTTAAGTTATAGTTAATAGTAAAGTATAAGTAAACTTAATATTACTTAAATTAGTAAATAAGTAATAAATTATATAGATTTATAAGGAATAACTATACCTCTTATAAATAGTTAAAGGAGAATAAGTTTAGTATAGTAAAAGAATTATTAATAATAAAAGCGCGTAGGGTATAAAGGACTCTTACGGTGCGGTAACTATATAGAACACTACAACTACTAAAAGTAACATAAGATTCCTTACTAATTAGTATATAAATCGTCTTAATCTATCTAGAATTAACGTTAATTATAAGTGTTAAACTATAGGATTAAGTATAATTATACCCTAATTAGGTAGGTAATTACTCCTAATTATCTTATGTTATTATAATTAAAGGTAAATTATAAAGAGGCTCTAGTTTAATTAGAAGGTAGATATAAGTATAAGGAATAAATTCTATATATTTATCTCTAAACCTATCTTTACTAACTTATATCTTTATACTTAATTAGGATTAAGATCTCCTAATTAGCTTGTATACTACCTTGCTTTAGGCTAATCGCCCTACCTTACTTTAATTATCCCCTAATTTCTTCTTTATAAGTCCTCTTAGGGAGAAATTATCCTTAAGATTAGCCCTTATATAACTACCTTTATAGTAAATTAGTATTAGCTTTTCTTCTTATTGTTTTTCTTAGCCTCTGCCTTCTGCTTATACACCTCCTTTATATAATCCTATTAAAGCCCTATGTCCTTATAATCCTAGCCTTCCTAATCCTAGCTTAATAACAGCAGTACCTAAGGCGTATATATAGGGGTTATATAAGCTAACTTATTAATTAGGTTATTATATTAATTAACTTATTCTTTCTATATATACTTATTAATTACTAGTTTCTTAAAAAGCTTATTTTAGTAGTATAGTAGTTAATAATAGTAATTTATAGCTTTTTATTAAAGTAACTTATTAGCTTCTTACTAATTAAGCTCTAACTTACTAAGTGTTAACTTATAATTTACTTATTCTAACTATAAGTTTAAATCTTAAGAAGTTATCTCCTTTAGTTCTAAGTCTTTACTTTATTTAATTAATAGGGGTTTTTAAAGTAGTTAAGCCTAAGTTAAAAAGTTCTTCTTTATAACGTCTTTAATCTTAAGTAAAACCTAAGCTAGAGACCTAGTTCTAGTAACTAATAATAAAGTTAGCCTAAATAAAATAGGAGGTAAATATAGGTTTATAAGTAAATATATAAGTCTCTTTAATTATAGCGTTATATTAAGCGTCTAGGGGATTAGGTATAAGGTAACTAGTAATATTTAACTAGGAGGTATAGGACTTATAGGAGTATACTTAGAATTAGACCCTCTTTTAATAGTGTTTATTACTAAAGCAGACTAATTAGGTAGGTTTTAAGGTATAAAGCCTAGTAATAGTCTAAGTAGTAAGCACTATCTCTAGCTAGTAACTAATTAATAATAATATAGGCTAAAGATCTAAGGATTAGTTAGTATACTTTATTTAATTAACGCTATAAAGCCTAGCCTTAAATATAGCTTCTTAATAATTATATAGTCTAGTTTAGTGCTTACTAATACCCTTATATAAATATTTTTATATTAACTATAGATATCCTTAAGATATATTCCTAAAGTATTATATATAGTATTATTAACTTAGTTACCTTTATAATAAAACTTATAGCTAATTTACTAAATCTAGTATATATATATTTAATTACTTAGTATACTTTTTATTTTATTACTTTAGAAGATAAGATTCTTAGTTAGGTATAATTTACTATACTAAACTACTATTTAGAACTACTTTAAAACGTAAAGGCTATACTTTTATAAGCTAGGCTGTTAGGCTATATTAATAACATAAGTACTAGTATTAATTAGATTCTTAATATATAGTAGAGCCCTTATGTCTTAGTAGAATCTTTAGAGCGCTAGGATATTATTAATAAAGATTACCTTAAATTAGCTTACTTCCTAAAGAGGGTTATACTAATAGACTATACTATTTTATTAGTTAATAATTATTCTTATAAAGTGTTTAAGATAATTAATAAATAGTAAAAAGAGGACTAAATATATAGAAGTTATAATTACTTTATAAGTAGTAAGTAACTAAGGAACTAAGACTAAGGCTATATTTAGATTAGTAAAATATTCCTAGCTAATTAGAACTACTATAATATTATAGACTAGTAATAAGTCTTAAGTTATAACCTCTAACGTTATAGTAATTTTATCTTTTTTTATTTAATCTCTTTAAAGTAGTTAACGTTATAAGTTATAGTAATTAAAGAGGATAGCTCTTACTTTTTAGTAGCTTTAGCCTTACTATTCTTACTAGCTATCCTAGATTATAAAGGCTACTAGTTACTATTATAAAAACTAATTTATATCCTCCTAAAGAAGCTAGTTAGGAAAACGTATATTAAGTTTAGTTAAAATAAAGTATATAAAACTATTTTAAATAAGTATAACTTATAAGTACGCCTAAGTTTAGTAGCTAAAGTAGTTATTTATACTAGAATTAATAAATTAGGAGTTTTAAGCTTCTTTAGTTATAGCTAGTAGTATAGTCTTAAATCTAATTAGTCTGTTTAATTACTAGCGTCTTATATAGTTATATAAGTTATTCTTAAAGTTATAAATAGTATA